GATTAATATATTACGATTGAACCATTAATTGAAAACTACTCACCAAACATACCTAAATACAAAAAAAATAAAGCTTTATAAGGCGCATGGTGTGCATCAATGACGAACCTGTTAATTGGTTTTAGCTAGCTATTTTTTTAGGCTATTTTGTCTTTTTTTTTTTTTTGGATTTTTGGCGATTTTTATGCGGTTTTGGCTATTTTTTAGTGCGGTTTTAAGTCCGCATCATGAAATCAGAGTATTTTTTTTATGCGGTTCAATACCCATTAATCATTTTAACCAAATCAACAAATGTTTTCTATACTAATGATATTTGATATCCTTTGAAATAACTTTAGCAACCTATTTATATAAATACATTTAAAGGATATTTACTAAAACGATCATTGTTCTTAATATATATAACTTTTTATTACTTGTTATGAGAAAATTGCCAAAATGACCAACAAGTTCATATTTTATATCACTCGAAATGTAGCAATCTATATATCAAAAATATTTTGGAGCTTGAGAAATTGTCAAAATGAGCATCATGTTCATAATTTGATCATTTATGAATTCCACTATTATATCATACTTTATAATTTATTTCAAATGATTGTGACATTTTAAATTATGTTATTATAATTTCAAAAATCCTATTTTATTTAATTTTAAAGTTTGTAACCGTTGTATTTTTTATATAAAAGTTATATATGGTGTACTAATTGATTATATAGTTTTATTTAGCTGTTTATGTAAATAGAAAGCATTTTTTTTCAACATGCTAAAACAAGTTTGAAACTATGAATAAATTCGAAATTTGTGTTGATTCTTGTTTAGGTAAGGTGCATATGTTTCTCGATTTTATCAAAGACGATGGACAACTATATGTACGTGTATTCCCAGATTGCTTGTCTCCGAAGGTATGCGTGTCACCAAAAAATTAGCAACTTATAAAATTAAATACAATATAAAATCATAATTTTAATGTTATTTAGTTGAGACTCAGATTATGTTTTCATAGGATAACTTGAGTTACCGAATACATGTTGCAAGTCAACAACTTTCATTGAGTGATACCAAACAAATGGAAACCGACGGTTTCTGATTGTGCGGACAATAAACATGCCACGAAAGACTCATTAAACTGCAAACTTGTGACAAGGTATAAAAATATCCTATCGAAATAGAACTGGTAGTCGTCAATCACGTTAATGATGGTTCATTGTCTCCTCGAATAATAAGTAATGACATAGTAACGAGTGACATTTTACATCCATCGGCATCTAGACCTACTGAGCAAAACATGACGCCCTAAAAAGTGTCGTATGTGTGGAGGTAAGTTGTAGCCTTGCCATTATTTATTTACCTAGTTCGGGTTTGCATATTGTAGTGACAACCACATCTATATTATCACGCTGAAAACATATTAAAATCAACATATTGTCTCAGAGTGATTATATTTGTTTCATACTAGTTCTATATACTTCGGATTAATTCTTTGTAGTAATGGTTCGTAATACAAATAAAAGTCACATATGCATAACGCCTAAATATCATTGACCTTTACTTCAAATCAAACAAAATAATATATCAAAACATAAAGCAAAATACATTCTGGTTCAAATAATAAATCTAAAACAAAATAATAAGATTAGAAAAACAACATATGCCTAGAAAAATTCGAGCTATTCACTATAAGACAGCATTTGTTCTGAAAATTGCTTATACAAAATGTGTTTGAAATGCAAATTTTGAATGAATCTCTAACTAAGGATGTCAACAGGAGCAACGGGGATGGGGATACATCCTCTGCCCCCACCTCCGAAATTTCCCCATTTCCCCGCCCCCCGCTCCCGTCCCTGAATTTTCCAGCTCCCCACCCCCACCCTTGTTTCTTCTCCCTCTATTGATTTTGAAATTTTTTTATTAGGCTAAAAGAAGTTGTTTTTTAGGCTTAAAGAAGCTATTTTTTGGGTTAAAAATAGTTATTTATAACATAATTTACATGTTAAAAATAAAAATATTATCACATCTCAAAAACGTTATATTAACAAATTGAAAACATGAAATTTTTTTTTGTTGATTTTTGGAAACTTAAATCATTGCTATTATTTATTATATTTATATAATTAATATATAAAAATATATATAAATATATTAACAGACCCTGATATCCCCACCTCAACCCATGCCGGCATGCCCCTGGCCCAACTATTTTAACAAGTATCCCCTATATGGGATCAACACTCCATGAGTTCAAGGTCTCACAAGAACTTTTGGTATCTCCATCTTTGACATGGTGTGTGTATATATATATATATATATATATATATATATATATATATATATATATATATATATATATATATATATATATATATATATATATATATATATATATATATAATATGGGGGAGGTACACTTACGAGTCAGGTTAACCATGTGAGTTACCCATAGAAAATACTTCTAAACTATGTGTTTAGTTTGCAAAAAGAATATCACTTTACAAAAAACAATTAAAGATATAGTTAGTATAGTTAATTTCACTATATTCATTTATTTTTTTTCCTTCTATTGATAAGTAAAAATTTCATAATCTCATATTAGGTTGTTCTTGTTCATAAACAGATCAACACTCAAAAGCACTTCATCAATACAAAAGACTAATTTGCGGTTATTTTGGCCTAGGCGCAGCCCATTCAACAGCCAAGATGAGATTATCATAACCATACCCATTAAGTTTACCAATAGCTTTCTCACCATCTTCCCTCCTCACGAAATTAACAAACCCGAAACCTCGACTCATCTGAGTCTTTTGATCCATTGCCACATAAACACGTGAAACGCTACCAAACGGCCGGAACAGCTCCTGCAAGTCAGGTTCTCGGGTGTCCTCCGACAGGTTATTTACTCGAACGGAGTTCTCATCATTCCTCCGCCTCATATCAGCACCACCTCGCTTTATGGGTGGGACATATACATCTCCTTTCTCACTATCATCAGTGACTGATAAAACCGAAGGGTGGTTCAGATTCTCAGCCTTGTAGGGGCACTTCGAGGTCCAGTGATCACCTTTCTTACCACAACTCCTACATACTATCAGAACAGCTCCGCGAGTTAATGGATCCCCAGATGCATTCGTGTCTTCTTGACCTTTGGATAAGAATGAAATTATTGCAATCTTAATTAAAGAAAACCAGAAACAATCTATATAGATAAACCGAGCGTGCACCTGGAGCTTTAGGACGCTCAAAGATGATTTCTTCTGTAGAAACCATTGTTAGCCGGGCGCCGACATCCTCATGAACAGCGTCGCCGAACTTCAACCATGAACGCCTCTCCGCGGCGCTCTTACTGAGATGAGAGGTGGCGAGCTTACGAACACGTGTTGTGGTGGTTATCTTAACCTTGTTCCCGTCGTTGTTGAACTTATACTCGACCACCTTCTTTACGCCGTGCTCGTCAGGTCCGATCACCTGTTTGGGAAGCAATGTGGAGTAATAATCTTTTTCATCATCCTCTTCATCAAGCTCTCCCCATCTAGGCTTTTGTATTGGTAGTAGATCAACCCCCATGGATGTGCTTGTTATAGTGATACACAAGAACTCTTGCACAACGTACCCTAAAAGATGACGAGAGTAATTAATTTGTTAGATAGACCGGTTTCATATGTTTTAATATCTTAGATGATCTTATAGAAACCTAAATAAACCTGTTTTCCTATCGCATCAACCTTTAATTAATCTAAATATCTAATCACTTTGTTTGAGAAAAAGATTTGCATATATTCGAATTCGAATCAATCAAACAACTGAACAAGAGTGTAAACAGAATAGCTAGTACGGGGTAAATTAAAATTCTTATCCCTCCGCCTAGCTGTTTTCCAACCTAAATAAATATTTTTACAATTTTGGTTATTATTTTTATAATATACATACACTTAATCAATTATTGACATGTAACTCGACATCACAATTGGTTGTTTTTTCTTTCAATTAAATGATTTATACACTTAGCCACTTCATACCATTCTCAGTGAATTTGAGTTGTTAAAAAATGTTGGATTATTTTTCGAAAATTGTGGATGCCAATTGTATACAAAATTAGAAGTTATGGGTTATAATTTGTACATATTAAGAAACATCTATAAGATGGTTAGTTGGTCGTGAAGTTATATAACTTCAATTTTTTAAGTTGTAGAACATAATCAGAAAAACCAACAAGTTTAATTGTGATAAGTGTTGCAGCAAAGTAGCATTGATAGCTGGAAATCTGATACCTATTATTATGTCGTTGTGGATTCATTTCAAACATATCTGTGCAAGTGGATGTGTAGCCCCATATATTAATAAAATAAACAATTTAGCTGAGATGATCTTAAATAAATGGTGTTAACCTATCTTATAAACCTTTAAATCAATTCACTTTTATAAAGGAAAGGAGATTTATATATTCAAATACAATCAAGTTGGGAGTGCAAACAGAATCAGACGATAGTGTAAATAGAATAACCTTTCAATACATTATACATGGAACTTCTTTCCTAAAGCAAAGTTATTGACATAAAACATAAAACATGATTCTTCTACCTTTTTTATTATTCTTTTTTTAAAATTTAAGTTAAGTTTAATTGTTCTGAACATCTTGCAAACGAAAGGAGAAAGTGTAATAAGTGGTAGCAAGCCAAAATATTGTAATTTTTAAAGGATGGATATTTTTGTGATGTCATGTAAGATGAGTAGTTGTAAAAGTTGAATTAACTAGTTGCAAAATGTAAGTAACACCTTATAAGGTGTCTTTAAAATATTCATTGATTGAATCTTATTATAAATGTTTAGTTTTAGAAAAATATTTCTAAAAATATGTCTGAGCCCGGGTTCGAACCGTGGACCTCTAGTGTGTGAGACTAGCGTGATAACCGACTACACCACCCAGACACTTTTGATTACTTTTATTTTTTAAATTATATTAATATTAAATTGTTTCTTCATTAAACAAAAGTTTCCGTAACTTCCCCCCATTTTGTCGACGGCATGCGAAAACTGTTGATAGCCTAACCATCTCAATCGCTCTCCCGCTCCCTGCAATGGCGTCTCATCATGCATCTCTTGGTCGTCGAACGGTTTGAATTTTGAATTTTTTTGTATTGCAAACAAATTTTCAAGTTAATTTAATTTTTTTTTTTGTGTGAGCAATGGTTTGTTCTTTTTTGGATCAATTGATGATAAATTTGTTCATTCTAGTTGGAAGAAATTCGTCAAAAGAGAGCGGCTCAGAAATTAAGCAAAACATCGTCCGGACCTGATATCACGAAGCCTCCAAGCCCTAAAGGTAACTTTTAATTCGATCAATGTGTGTAGGTTACGTTGATTTTCGTGGTCATATTCATTGAATTCTCTTTATGTTTTATTCAATCATCGGCTGCAGGGATTTCGAAATCATCTAGTAGTACTGGAATTTCAGAGGTTCGTATTTACTAATTCGATTGTGTCATCTCGATAAATTTTCATCAGATGCTGATAAAAATTGCTTCATGTATTCGTCATCGCAATAATGTAATTTGTGATAATATGTTTACATTGCGGTTTTGGAGAGACTAACGATATGTCAGTTAAATATTAATTCCGAATTGTGTGTTTTGTTGAGAATGTTGCAGTATGATATTAGTGGATTGGTATCACAGTTACAAGATTTGCAGAAAAGGAATGTCAAATTCGACAAAGAGAATAAAAACTTGAGCTCACAGGTTTTATAGTTTTTCCTATGCTATTTCTGTTATTACCTCCAATCCCCATCTCTTTGCTTCATGCTTGATGTGATTCCTTGTTCTTTATGGTCATATTGGTGTTTCAGCTTCATTCTAGAGAAATTGAAAATGACATGCTTGTTAAGCGAGTGAATGCTCTGGTATGTGCTCTTTTGTTTGATCATGATCATTGCAGTTATTCTTTTGCTTGTTTGAATTTCTATAAGCAAAAGCTATTGGAATTTGGATTACAGGAACAAAATACTGTGCCATCATTGAGAAAAGCTCTAAAGGATGTTGCAATGGAAAAAGATGCAGCAGTTGTTGCACGGGTACAAATGATCAAAAGATTTTTCTACATTGTATTTGATAAAGTTTCACACTGACAACGTATATACTAATACTACCAAACACTGATGTTTTAGTGTAGGAAGATTTCTCAGCACAAGTTCGATCACTCAAGAAGCGTCTAAAGGAAGCAGAAGAAGAACAATACAGAGTATTAAGCAATATGTATCATATTTTATTGTGGTGGAAAAGTCAACTGCATTTATATATATTCTTATAAACTCTTGAACAGGCTGAGGAAGATGCAGCTGCATTAAGAGCAGAGTTAAACTCCCTACAAAGACAAACCATCAATGGAAATGTTGGTGCTGATATCTCAATGGGAGGCTCACAAGATCAGATGCAAGCTATTGAGAAGGAGCTTGCTGAGTTGAAGATCCAGTTAGAGGTTTGAATGATTTATGAAAAGTGAATTTAATTACTTTTAGAGGTTCTTTTAATAAAAACAGTTTTTAGCTTACTAAAGTTGGTTATAAATAGCAAGAATCAATGTTGAGGCGCCAAGAAGGAATTTTGAGACGACAAGAGCAACAACAGTTAGCAGAGGAGAAACATCGAATATCTGCCATCATTTCTGAAAAGAGGGATTTGGAAGAAAAACTTTCAGCCATGTCCAACAAGATCTCAGGTGCTAATAAATTGAAGTACATTTTCTGCTCCTTATTTCACTTGATCAACCTTAAATACATAATAAATTGTTAAACTTATGATAGATAAGATGGAATGAAATACTGTTAATTACTGATCTCTATAATCCTTTCTTAATGTCTGTAAAACTCCTCATTTTGTTGCTTTCTCATGCAATGCAGGAGTTTCAGGAAAAGAGATCCAATTCATATTGGTAAGGGAAAGCAAATGATGCTAATAAATGAAAAACATAGCAAATGTATCAACCAGGAAATTTGTATTATTATTTCCTATTATATTATTATATATTTTATTATCTTTATGGATTGTAGGAAGACAAAGAGAGACTTGAGAAGCAATTGCATGATATGGCAGTAGCTATTGAGAGGTTGGAAAACAGCAGACAGAAGCTACTATTTGAGGTAAAACTATTTCACTATAATTTGTTATTGTCAAACATCTTGACATAAATAATAGCTTCAATTATTATTTCATCACCAGATCGATTCACAATCTTGTGAAATAGAAAAACTTTTCGAGGAGAATTCTAACCTATCTTCAGCTTATCAAGAATCAACAAATGTAGTAGTACAATGGGAAAACCAAGTAAGTGTTTTTTTTAATCTATTTCAACAATATAAATACACCCATTGCAAATGATCATAAGATTATAATTCATATGCACAGGTTACAGATTGTTTAAAACAAAATGAGGAACTTCGTATGATGATAGATAGATTAAGGAACGAACAAGTTACTAATAATAAACCAACTGCAAATCATCACGAGAATATTATATCAGAATCCAAAGAAGGTGGGAATGAGATGGTTTCCCTAAAGGTTAGTGAGTGATTCAATCTCTCATAAATTTCACTGACTTTCTTTCTATATTAAGTCGTTCTTTTTGCATTAAGTCAAAAAGTAATTATGGATTCAGGGTCAACTTGCTAAAGAACAGAGCAGGGGAGAGACACTCTCTGCTGAGGTCCTACACCTCTCTGCTAAACTCCAGCAACTCATGCAAGCCTACAATGGTCTCACCCGAACGTATGCCTTCATTTTTTATTTTTTAAATTCAAATTGCTTTTGGTCATACATTTTTTCATTTTTTTGGTTGGTAATTTGCAGATATAAACCAGTGTTGAGGAAAATCGAGACTAATTTGCTGAAAATGAAGCGAGATGGTTCTGTGGCAGTGCAGTAAAACCGGAGCCAAAAGGGGTAATTTCTTATTTCATGTTGAGAATTTATTTCTTCGTGATAATCTAATTTCATTATAAATTAATCGTGTCAAGAAACTGTATATTTTACAAGAATGTGGTGTTTATTTATTTCTTTATTTTAATTTGCAAACCGGAGCCAAAAGGTTTATATATTTGGCTATTTGTTATGCTAAAGTTCATTTATGCATAATTTGGATTAGTGTAAATGTTATTACTAACGATAAGTGTGTGTGTGTGTGTGTATATATATATATATATATATATATATATATATCACTCACATGCATATCTATTACAAATCTTTGTAGATGAAAATTATTATTAGAAAATATATGAAAGGTCAAAACAAAACACAAGACACATTAGTCATTGACCTCAAGCAAAGAGAAGTGACATATATACTTAAATATATTAGTACTAATATTTTGAAACCATAATAGTTTTATGGTATGGACTAGATGGCGGCTGATAATAGTAAGGTGAGGCTGGTGGACTTGGTATAGGAGATGGTGGTGGAGGGGATGGAAAACCATATGAGGGTGGAGATTGACCTTGTGATTGTGGTGGTGGATATGATCTTACTGGTGGCGTTTTTTTATGGGAGGGTGGTTGATGATGGTGGTGAGATGATGGTGGACATTTTGATCGTGGAGGTTGTTGAAAGTCATGAGAAGGTGGTGGGCTTGCATACAATGGTGGTGGATTCTGAGGTGTTGGAGGTGGTTGATGGTCTTGAGATGGTGGTGGAGTTTGAGACGATGGTGGTGGTTGATAACCTTGAGAAGGTGGTGGGTTTTGAAATGTTGGAGGTGGTTGATAACCTTGAGAAGGTGGACTTAGTGATGATGGAGGTGGTTGATGGCCTTGAGATGACGGTGGACTTTGAGATGAGGGTGGTTGATAGTCTTGAGGTGGTGGTGGACTTTGAGATGAGGGTGGTTGATAGCCTTGAGAAGGTGGACAACTTTGAGATGGTGGAGGTGTTTGATAACCTTGAGGTGGTGGTGGACTTTGAGATGATGGAGGTGGTTGATTGTTTTGAGATGGCGGTGATTGATATCCTTGGGAAGGTGGTGGGCTTTGTGACGATGGAGGTGGAATTTGAGATGAAGGTGGTTGATAACCTTGAGAAGGAGGTGGACTAAGAGATGGTGGAGGTGATTGATGGCCTTGTGATGGTGGTGGTTTTTGATATGGAGGTGATTGATGACCTTGATTAGTTGATGGACTTTGATATGGTGAAGGTGGACTTTGTGATGAAGGTGGTTGACCAGCTTCAAATGGTGGTGGGCATTGAGACGGGGGTGGTTGACATCCTTGAGAAGGTGGTGGAACCTGAGATGTCGGAGGTGGTTGATGGCTATGAGATGGTGGAGGTGGACTATGGTATGATGGAGATGGTGGATTTTGAGATGGAGGTGGCTGATAACCTTGAGAAGGGGGTGGACTATATGATGATGGAGGTGGTTGATGTCCTTGAGATGGTGGTGGTCGATGACCTTGCGATGGTGGTGATCGATAGCCTTGAGAAGGTGGAGGACTATGAGATGTTGGAGGTGGTTGATGACCTTGAGATGGTGGTGGACTTTGAGACGATGGAGGGGGTTGATGGCCTTGAGATGGTGGTGGTTGATATCCATGAGTTGGCGGTGGACTTTGAGACGGTGGAGATGGTTGGCAACCATGAGATGATGGTGGTGGTGGGCTTTGAGACGAAGGGGATGGTTGATAACCTTGAGAAGGTGGTGGTTGAGATATTGGAGGTGGATGATGGCCTTGAAATGGTGGTGGTTGATTACCTTGAGATGATGGTGGTGGAATTTGAGATGAGGGTGGTTGATATCCTTGAGAAGACGGTGGACTTTGAGATGTTGAAGGTGGTTGATGGCCTCGAGATGGTGGGGGAGTTGCATAAGATGGTGGACTTTTTGATGATGGAGGTGGTTGAATGCCTTGAGATGGTGGTGGATTTTGTTGTGAGGGAGGTGGATTTTGAGATGATAGAGGTGGTTGATAGCTTTGAGTAGGTGGTGGACTTGCATAAGAAAGTGGTGGACTCTGAAATGTCGGAGGTGGTTGGGATGGTGGTGATGGGTTATAGCCACTGTATTGATTTGGCATTCTTCCACCACCTACCACCACAGGAGTGGTGGTCCATATTGTCACCAATGTGACCAAGAGCACAAACTCTGATTTTGTTAGTTTCATTGCTAAACCTTATGCCTTATGATATATCAAGTGGGATAATGAACCTTTATATAGGAAAAACATTTGCCCTCATATGTCAAAACATTGTCACATGACCATGCACGTGATATATACATGCATAGAAGTTGGCGTTATAAATCCTTCATTTCTTGAAGAGGTTTGACCATCTTTTACTACTATGCATATGAAGTTTGATCTTCTGAAAGCTTGGTTTTCCAACATCTGTTTTAATAATCGTATAAAAGAATGCATGCTTTATAATTTATGTGTATACTAATTAAATCAAATGTGTGACATACACTATTTTGAATATAAATCATGTACACTTTAATTGGTCCATGTAACAGTACATAGATTAGTAAATACGAACACAAAAACATGTAGAATGTTTTCAGGTTTCCATTTTTATGATGCCTCGTAAATTGAAAAAATAATGATGGTTGATAAAAAAAGAAAAAAATGATTCACTGGAGTCTAATGCTTAGAGTAAATGCGATGTTTTATTTATTATTATATTTCTTTACTTTTTATGGTTCCAATATATGTAAAAACTCTTTGATTTTACAATATAAATAGATTTTTAAGATTTTCAAAATAGTATATTTTCTTATTGGTATCTGAAAAGAATTTGTTGTACAGTTGTCTTGCAATTAGAATAGATAAAGTTGTGATGACAATTAGGAGAGTGAGATCACACATGTATTTCCCAAGCCTCTTTGGCATGAAATATGGCCATTATTCGAGGGGTGTTGTTCGAGTGTTACAAGGATGATAGAATTCGTTGGTATGTATTGGGATTTGAAATACGAAATCATTGTATATAACTATAGACAAATTTAGTAATATCTCACTCTTAGTCACAGATTCTAATTTTGTTTGATTTGGTTCGCTTTCGAAGGTTATTACTTCTTGTTACTAAATAAATAGTAAACAAATCTCAAGTTTGTTCCATTTAAGACTTTTAAGTACTTGAACTTCTCCTGCAACTTTTTTACCACTTTCATTTATGTTTTATTCATGTGAAAAAAAAAATTGAAAAGTAACTTGTTTATCTGGTTGATTATGTTACATGACAATGTTTCAACATGGAAACCACTGTGTCACTTGAAAAAAAAAAAGAAAAAAAAATATAGTGCTGATTTGATTCTTTGTCATAATAAATAAGAGAAAAAATGCAATTTCTTCTTCATTTGTGAAAAAAGGTTAACGTCATAAAATAAACAACAAACGTGTAATTTTGACCAAACAATAGGGACCATGTCAATAATTTACTCATCTTTTAATTTTATCAAATAGACCACTAAACTATTTTTTAGGTTCTTAAGATGTTGTTATCAATTAGATAAACTACTATTGAATTCTACGTGGTGTCGCATGTTGCAACATACTCAATTTTACGGTTAGGAAACATTTTTTATTTATGTTTGTTTTAAAACAGAGTATTCATAAATTTGTGGAATTTGTTCTCAAAACATAATATTTGAATATTTCCAAAGAAACATTTTTCTCTATATAAAAACTTTGAGATGTCATCGTCAACACATATAGATAAGCATAAACTTTTTTTAACAGGCTTTACATCAGTTTATTAAACTATGGCCTAACAACTCCTCAAACCACTCATCAACCCTATCTCTTCGTCCTGTTACCTATGATACAAAGAAACTGAATAGATCGGACCTGGAGGCCTAGTATGTACATAGGGTTTTCAACCCACAATAATTAAGTTTTTTAATTATATAATTCACATCAAATAATTCACCCGATTACCTATTCTCATTATTCTCACTTACTGATCCTAAATATTGATCTCATGGGACCTATCCTAAGAATCATCATCAACAACGGGTAGACAATATTGTTTCGTGGATTCGTATAACATTATATGTCAATAAGGCAACGATGGGGGATAAAGTACATCAAATGAATAGATAGTTCATTAACACCTACAGGTTGCGAATCTGCCAGCATTTCACTGGACTGTCTAGAATAGTATGTGTTCGCCATCAATACTCTGCTAGACGACTAGTTTGTCAATATTCAAGTTCTCTCATGTAACGCTCATTTCAGGTAGCAATTCTCCTTTCAAGATTTTAGGGCTTTAGACTAGAACTCGATGAGTTGGGAGCTCCAACTCGTCGAATAGAGATCACTAGTGGGACACGGAATTTAGGACCTACTCAACGAGTTAGTAGACCCAACACAACGATTAGGCGCTGTAAAAGGAAACCCTAATTTTTAGGGTTTGCACCATATATAATCTCCTTAAAACCTTGAGGCTGACCATCAATCAGCCTCCAAACCCTAAGAATATCTGTGCTAAACCCTAATCTCCATTTTTCTCATATTGTGAGCTAGAGTTACTTTTTGAGCTTAAGAAGAAGAAGATAGTGAGAAGAAGGAGAAGATCCAACAAACAAAGCCCTCACTCTTGAGCTTGACCATCTTGTGGACTATTGTAAGCATTCAAGATTCAATCTTTATCTTTGAGTATGGCTACATCTTGAGTTTACTCTTCAATTCCTATCATTCTTGTTGATTGCATGCATGTGGTTCATAAAGTCTACAACTTTATGAATCTCCAGGGCAAAATGGCCCCATAGTGGGCTAGATCTAGCTTTTGGTCAAGCATGGATGCCATGCATGGTTTTAGGGTATATTTTCCCTTTTTGGCCATTTTGACTTCAAGAGATGCATTGGACATGGATGTCCATACAGTCTCCATCTTTGGAACGTTTTGAGGATTAGAACCTCTTCTGGAAAGGAGGGATTCCAGATCCCTAGAATCTTGAACCATATAGCTAAGCTTTTAAGCTTTCCAACCTTTGTTAAGGGATTTAGAGCATTCAGAGTGGTTCCAAAGGATAAAGTTGGAAACTTTATCCTTCTAGACACCTTAAGATCTTAGGTCTAAGCCCTAGAATCCCTGTAATCGACATATCATCCGAATGTGCAAACAGAGGGAAAAGCTCGACGAGTTGCTCTGGCAACTCGACGAGTTGGATCGGGTTTTCCCGTCTACTGGATATTGAATGAACTCGACGAGTTGATGAGACAACTCGTTGAGTTGGCTAGGGTTTGTCTCGGTTTTCTGGACTCTGAAGGCACTCGTCGAGTTGCTAGATGCACTCACCGAGTTGGGGTTCAACATAGACTGTTGACCTTGACTGTTGACTTGGACTTTGACCATGGTTGACCAAGTGTGACTTTGAGGGTATTTTTGGTATTCCAGTAAATAGATCAATCAGTATAATGACTTGGAATCACTGATAAATTTTATTTATAGATTCATAATAACGACTATGAATATAATATAATTTACACCAAAAGTAATATGAGTATAGCTTAACTTACAGAGAGTTTCCTAACAAAAGTACGGAAATTGCACTAGGAGAACTTGACTCGAGAGCTACTAATGTCGGGTACCCAAGGAGTCAAGGACCTTAGGGCTTCGCCGAAATACCCTAAATACTAAGAAAAATTGGGCCATAATCAAAAGAAACTCGAGAAAGGAGCTGAGGTTTTGATTTGTGAGGAGCATATACGGATGACAACCCGTATATATCGAATTTGAAAAAGTGTGTCGTGCCTGGTGATGTGGCCCATTCTGCTTGCAACATGTGGAAGAAGTTAGTTGGACCTGCGTTGTCCCTTCTAGAAGACCCTGCACGCCATTCACCCCGCCTGTACGAACTTTTTTCAGATTTTCAAAAGTTTGTATTTTCTTCATACGAACTTTGTTTTTGACGTTATTTATATCCATGCACAGTTATCAACGAGATCTACAACTTTCATTTAGACTCCGTCGGATAATTCTCGCTTTATTTTTTATTTATTATTTTACAAAGTTTAGACTGCTAATCTCCGTTAAAAATTCATATTGTTTTCATACAACATCAGTTCTTGATTGTCTTTATATCGATGAACTCCTATTAACAAGATATTCGACTCTTGTTTAGATTGTTTCAGCTAAATATTAACAAATCTAAAATTCGATTTTTGTGCTAATACAGTTGGCTAAACTTCGAAAAATCAAAATTTCCTCATATAAAGTCAGATTTGTATGTTCTATATATGTACGCTCTCAATTTTACGATCATTACGACTTTTGTTTAGATGAATTAAGCTAATAAGCAACCTATCTTCGATTCACTCTTTACAACGTACTTTGTCATATTGGGTTGAACGCGAAACTTCAAATGATTATAACTTCTTAATACAAAGTTAGACTTAGGCGTTTATACCCTCGAAATTCTTATCACGACTACTACAACTTTGATCAAGACTACTTATCCTAATTAATATTTTATTTTAATATTTGTTTTAGCTTTAATTATTAAGTTTTCGCCTAATATTATATACACACATAAATCATATAGATTCAATTTTTTTTTTTTTACTTATACATCAAATTGTTACAATTGTTGACCATGTGGGTTACATATGTTAATAATGCATAGCAATAAGCACGAGAATTACAACTGTCATAATCAAAATGACATAATTTTATCATTGTCTATCAAGTCTGCTATTGTATCATATTGAAATGTAATTTAATAGTGTAATGAGAAAGTAGAGAAAAATATAATGATTTATTGAATTCAATTAAAAGATAATTATGTGTTGTATATCAGTCTTATAAAAAATAATAAGTTTTGAAATCCCACCAAAAAACATATATTTTGACAATGAATAATCTACTGAAAAAAATAATATTAATTTGGACAAAAGAAGTGAATTAAACCTACACTTGTGGGTTCACAATCCACTTCATTGATTCCCTTGGTTACGTTTGCATGTCATATAGTATATCTAGTATTTTTATAAAACTTATTTAAAATTTTGGTAAATTATATAGAAACTATCATATTTTGTATTTTTTTTTTACAGTTTATCCGTTATATACTAATTCGGTCAACAAGACCTACCATATTTTGTACGTTTTTCTTCTACAGAATGAGGTGGCCTTTTTTTTTAAACTAAAGCTGCTTAACCTTAATAACTTCTTTAATTTGTCCCCTTTTTCAATATGATGTTTAAAGATATGTTGTTTTCATAAACATTATCTAATTTTCTAGGTCACTACATGTTCTCTATCTATATACAAAGTTGGGCTTGGAACACAACATAGGCTTGCATTGGGGAAGATAAGGTAATCATTATGCAGTTGTCACATTCCAATAGCAATCATATACTTCTATTTGAAATCGAGGTAATCAAGATGATATAGCGGTTTTTTTATATTATATAGTATATACATATTATAGTATTATACAAATGGTCTTTGATAGGTTATACATGGAAATTTAGGATTAGATTAGTTTGTTATATATATATATATATATATATATATATATATATATATATATATATATATATATATATATATATATATATATATATATAGAGAGAGAGAGAGAGAGAGAGAGAGAATTAACATCATAAAAATTAGAAATAAGTTGATAATTCATAATTGATAAGTATTGTGATGAGAACTAAATCTCTTAACAACTAACATAATAAATGTCAAGACTTATAGCATACTAACATGATAACTTAAGCCTACTAAAATGATAATTTTTTTTCTACTCTACACTACTCCCGATTCTCCAATGATAATTGATAAGTTCATAAGTCATACTCAATGGATTAATGTTCATAAATCAACCCAATCCAAACTACTAGGCTTGTTAGCTTGTTACCATATTGAGAAACAAAACTCCACAATATACCAAACGAAGAACAAATGGTCGGTTTCTAATTAAGTCAACCCACAAAAGAAATTCAAGATTTTGGTTTAGACTTATTTAAAAAAAAATTACATTTATCCCAAAAATCATTTTTCTTTTTGTCAGGTAGCCTAACAATGACTTACAAGCAATTATGGTGGTAGCACCGCTATAGCACTCACATAAATCATTTTTCTTTTTACGGACAAATTATCACGACTCCTCACCGATCAACGTTTAAGCATCTAAATTTTATTCCTAGGAATAACTATTAAACATAGTTCACTTATACTAATGTTTTGAAGATACAAACCGTAACATCTTTTGTTTTTAGTCAAATTTGAAAAATCATTTATGGTTTTGGAAATCATATTTTCATAAAAATATTACAACGAAAATCTCATACATTTTCAAACATTAAATAAATAAAAATGTTTCAAAGCTAGAAAACCACAAAGGATGTCTCAAGCATACATCAAACATCACTAAAGTAGTATTGGTACCAAATCAAAAGGCCAAAAACATGGAATAAACAATGTTGTAAAATTTTCGATTAATCTCTTATTAATCTCTAGGCGTTATCTCACCAACTAAAAGACGTCTAACCTTTAATCCATGTCTACAAAATGAACAAAACAATAACAAAACAAATGAATTTTAACACTTTGAAAAAGTTTTATCTTAACAGAAACTATTTGAGAAATGATTAATATGATTAATGTTGTATTAATCATATTAAACTATTTTGTTACGATATTAGTGATATTTACGAACTTTCTTATGATATTGGTCATATTTAATTTTTTTAAATTCAACGAATTAACAATTTTTACACCCTTAAATGATAGTTCAAGTACTTGGTGTTTTATGAATAAGAATGAAATGAGTTTAAAGTAGATGTTACCCACATCATAAAGACATGTTGGCAAAAAGACCAAGTTTAGGCCATTTCTAAAAAAAACCCAATTACATCCATTTTTAAAGACCTAACTCCAAAGATTTTATATTTGGATTAATTCACAATTCTTTGGTGTCTAACAACAATTAGTAGTAGTAATAGTAATAGTAGTAATACAGTGTCAATCATTGCAATTTACAAACCCAAATGTAGTTGCAGTCTCATTATAAATTGCTATGTCAACAGTTTAAAACCATAGACTCCATTAATAGTGTTTTAAATAGGAAGAAAAAAAATATAAAAAAAAAAAAAAAAAAAAGTAGCAGCATTTTGTGGTCATCCTGGAACTACCCCTTACCTTAAAAGCAGAAAAAACTTCAACAAAAGGTCTTTCCAACATGTTCTTCACAGAAAACCACAACACCACCACTCCTGCTGTCATCCATCTTCAATTCACAAACAACCAGAGGACAATTATGTCAATTCACTATTTCACACATAGGCAACAAGTCCAAGAAAATAAATTGATACTTACCAGGTCACCAATACAGCAGGATTCAAGTCACCGAATTATAAAAATCTAGGTTTTCTATCAGCTGGCTTCAAGATTTGGAAAGAACACATTAAGCTCTCATCAACACTCATCATAGCACCAGCATTATCAAATTCACCACAATAATTTGGAGCAGAGAATATAGTAACAAGCTGTCTATCAGCAAAGAATTCATACCCATCTTCTACAACCTGCAAAAATGACAAAAACCAACATTCCAATTAGTCAATTACATACATACCTACCCTCAAAAAAAAACATATAGATATACACATGAATATCAATAAATGTAATGTGAATGTGAATAAAACCTGATGAGCACGACAAACAAGGTCCATATCATGCTGCATTAAGAACTCTGCAACTTTATCAGGACCAAAAGTATAAGAAACTCCCCTATCATTCATTCCCCAACCTTTAATGTCACGATTAGGATCTGACCAGAGTAAATCACAAAGCAAACCGGTGTCTGGAACATCAGTGGGGCGAGGTAAGTTTCTTATTTGATCTAAGTTTGTAAGATCAGGAGAAAGACCACCATGCATGCATAGTATTTTGTCATCTATAAGAGCAGCAACAGGAAGACAATTGAAACAATCAGTAAAAGTTTTCCAAAGTCTAACATTGAATCGGCGTTTACATTCGTCATAGAAGCCATAGATCCTGTTGATGGAAGCACATTCATGGTTTCCTCTTAAAAGGAAGAAGTTTTCAGGGAATTTGATTTTGTAGGCGAGTAAAAGGCATATGGTTTCAAGACTCTGCTTCCCACGATCCACATAGTCCCCTAGAAACAAGTAATTTGCATCTGGAGGAAACCCTCCATATTCAAACAGCCTTAACAGATCACCGTATTGTCCATGAATGTCACCTGTTTTCACAGAGATCAAACAGTTAAATATGGATTCTACACCATACAATCAGAATAAAAATCAGATAAGATCCTCATTCCTCACCACAAACAACAAATATGCAATGGAACAAGATAATGAAAAATCGCTACAAAACCAACAGTATTTGAAATTTGAATACATCAAGGGAATCAGATTATCGTTTGTCTTACCGCAGATCTTAATGGGAGCTTCGAGCTCTAGAAGATTAGGCTGTTGAAGAAAGATTTCTCGAGCAGCGGCACATAGTTGACGGATCTCCGCTTCCGAAAGCTGAACCTGCCGGACGGTTCTCGCTAGCCGGAACTCCAATAGCCGATTGATTATATCATCGAGTACGGCAGGGTCTATTCCCTGACCATTTTGAGCCATTGATCTCTAAATACTTCTACCTCCCTCGAAATTTCTCCGAAACCTGGGTTCTCAAAAACACCCAGAAACCCTAGATCGTAAAACAAAAACAAACCAGAAGAAACCGAAATTGCTTCGGCGATTTTCAACTACTTATTGTTAGTACATTGTTTTTGTTCCTCGGAATTTTTAATCATACACATGATGTATGCGCATGGACAAGTAGGGTTACAGAAAAATATTAACAAAAATTTAATAGCAGATAAAAAATTGGCGAGCTGACGGAGGAGGGAGGAGAAGAGGAGGGGCTGCAACTCTGATTGGGCGGAGATGCCGAACTCGATGATCAAAATTCTTCGAGAACGATAAATCCGTAGCGCTTGTGTGGTTTCAAATTTCTGCCCTCATTTCCCAATCAAAACTTTTGTGCTGGTATTTTATCTTTCTGATTTTGTTAATCCAAATAAAAATTTGAAATCTAGGGTTTTGATATGCCCAAAAAATTGATGGTGGGTTATTTGTTTCCCACTTGTTTTTTGGGATATTTACAAAATACTCCCCTCATGGTTTATGAATGTTAGATATACCACATCATGTTTCAAAAACATCATCATAGTCCTTATTTTGGTGCAGTTTTTTTTATTTGATTTTCTTATCTAAAAACAAACTCAAAAATACTTGTAGAATCTAGGAATCATAGACTTAATTTGTACCATTGAGATAAAAGACTTACAAAAGTATAGGGATATAATTTTTTTCACTCTTGACTGTAATTTATTAGTTTACCATAATTTGTTAGTTTATCATATGTTTGAATTCATACATAAAATATTGAATAGCTGGTTAATTGATTTAAAAATAATTAGGGAATAGGAATTATGCAAAAATATATGTTAATTTCAAATGTTCATAACCTTCAATTGAAATGAAACATTGTAACATCTTGATAGTTTTATATGTATAGACTAGGAACTATGTTGTTTCTAATGAATTTGAGTCAAGACCAAGCCTTTTATTTTATATTTGCAATGGTTTCAAAAGTTTGGGATAATTTTCATTTGTTTTATTTAGCAAAGAAAACATATCATTTCATAAGTGTGTCTTTTCTTACCCATTTGTGATATATTTCTTTCAAATTGAAGACAAAAAAAAGCCATGCAACTATTACATAAAACTTCAAGGTGAACATCTAATGGAAACTATATTTTTTTATAACTTAAACATCTTTATAGTGCATTTTTAAAAAAAAACCATTTAAATATGTTGCCCCATTGATGAATATGTGTGCGCTCATCCAAAAACAAATGCATCACATGTCCTAAAATAGTGCAATGTTTTTTTTAATGTGTCGCTCTATTTGTTTAACTGACTATGATACATGACCATTTAAATATGTTGCCCCATTGATGAATATGTATGCGTTCATCTGAAAACATATATACCACATGTCTTAAAATACGATACCAAAGCAAATCGAGGAATTGTCACCATATAGCACATGATTAGGTTTATGGTGTAAAAAGTTATAAAGCTTAATTAGCCAATGAAAATGTCTTACGGAGTTTCATACCTAGTTTAGCCCCATCTTCAAGATCGAATTCCACTATGTGAAATGATAGTTTCTTTTAAGATTGTTCATTAAACTGCACAAATCGTCCGCATCACACAAATCACACCACATAACACATTCTAAAACCTTGGTAAGGTTGTTTGTGGTTTGCAAATTTGTTAACCCACACCATGCAGTTTGTGGTTTAACAAATTTACAAACCAGAAAGTGAACACTACACATGTTTTATTTTTACTTAACAAATATGAGTTAACAATGGTTAGTTCCAAGGCAAAATAAACAAATAAAGACAAATGAATGTTGTTTGATAGATGAATCATTGTCACAATATTTTAAGGGATTCCTTATTATAAACATATCTTATTTCTTGTAATAGTTTAAAATGACCGCGAAAGAAGACACATTCTATAATTTCAATGTTTCGCATTTTTGGAAATTAATCATTTTCTCGGTCATCATAAGCGTTGAATATGGAAACAGTTTATTGATGGTCGGAAATCTTAATTTAAAGATGAGATTTCGATTATTCCACATGGGAGGGTTAATTTTTTTTATCTAGATAGGTTTGTGTTCTAAAGTTGTATGGCTTCTAGTTTCCTAAACCATAAGTAAAAATAAACAATTAGAAATTTAAAGACACAAAAAATAAAATAGTGATCGTTTGCATCGCACTAAACCGTAACGCAATTCATAACATAATTTAAAATTTTTACATAATTTAAAACTTTTGTAGTGTCTTAAAACATTTGTGTGACGTTGCAAGCATGAGGATAATACCAAACACAGACACAAAACATAGAAGTTAGAATTAAACATTCACAGCAAAATATGGGGGTTGTATGGCACAAGCTCACAAACTATGAGGGTTACATTGTAATATGTTATTTTCTTCTTTATTGTAATGTTGACGATAGCAAGAGGCCCCAGCGTGCGTGGGGCGGTGTTGAAAGGATTTCATGCTTTATTACCTGGAACCCAATAGTCATATTCTATTTTAAAATCACAAAATAATCCCTAAACTATCAAGACAATCCACATTTGGTCCCTATTTCAAATTTCTCATTCAATCAACAGCCAAAATGATCATAGATTCAAAAGAACGGGGTCAAATCACAAATCACAGAAACGAGTCGACAACGGAATCCAAGATACTAAACCATATATCGAATTTTCACAAGAATTGTTCTCAAGTAAGATAGTATTCTACAAGGTCAAAAGAAGGTGTTGTTTCTTGATTACAAAAAGAAAACAAAAAAAGAAATCTTTAGCTTTACCTCATCAAATATGTTTCAACTCAAGTTGAACAGCAACCTCTCTTTGTATTATTCCCAGATGAATCAGCGACATTAATGGTGGTTCCTTGACCAGGTAAAGCAGTAGGACCTGATGCTTCTTGAGCTGCTAATGCTTTCTTGCTAACGATATGATATATATCTGTCAAAACAGTTTGAAACGCTTTCTCAACATTATGTGCTTCAAGTGCTGATGTTTCAAGAAATGAAAGCCCTTCTTTTTCAGCGAGGGATTGGCCATCTTGTTCAGCCACTGCTCTGAGATGATTCAGATCAGACTTGTTTCCAGCCATCATGATCACAATGTTGGAATCTGCGTGGTCTCTTAATTCACGCAACCATCTCTGAATGTTATCGAAGGTTTGGCTCTTGGTTATGTCGTACACCAGAAGAGCCCCAACTGCACCTCTGTAGTATGCACTGGTTATCGCTCTGTACCTTTCTTGCCCTGCTGTGTCCCAAATTTGTGCCTTCACTGTCTTTCCATCAACCTGTTTTCGTAGGCATTCTATCAAACACTTGGTACGCTAAATTTAATGGACTTTCGATTGGATTTTATCAAACAGGAGTAATTACTAATTAGACGATATATTAAGAGAAACTGTTCATCGGATTAGGTTCAAAGAGAAATCAGCAGGAAAAAGAAGGAAATTCAGACCTGAAGAGTTCTAGTAGCAAACTCAACTCCAATTGTTGATTTGGACTCCAAACAGAATTCGTTCCTCGTAAACCTCGACAGAATATTGGATTTTCCGACACCCGAGTCCCCTATCAACACGATCTTGAATAAATAATCGTACTCATTATCTACTCTATTAGCCATTAGTCTTTCCTCCTTCCCTCGCAAACCTATAACACAAGAAAATTTCGGAGTTCGTTCAAATCGATAGATATGCATAGATCTAAGCAGATCGAAATCAGACCCACTACTTCTTTTCGATTGCAAACGAAACTCATCATTCCTTTTCTGATTGCGAACAAAATCCACAAATTTATATTCCAAAAACTAGCTCAATCACTAAGGAAAACATAGACAAACGCGGATATCGTGTTGTATTGTATGTTAAAGACCTTACCGTAACTAAAGAGATCGGGAAGAAAGTGAGGACCTCGCCTTGAAAATTTATCGGAAAATGGGATTAAAGTGAGCTTTGAAACAATTAAACAATGGAGAAAGAGGTTTGAACTAGCCAACGTGATTATATACAGCCTACAAGGGCAGAGAGATAATTACAGAGTTGGTTAAAAAAAACAAACTCACCGTTCCCTTCTCTCACTAGTCACTAGCAACATTAGTGACATACATATATATATATATATATATATATATATATATATATATATATATATATATATATATATATATATATATATATATATATATATATATATATATATATATATATATATATATATATATATATATATATATATATAGCCATTTAGGTATTGAATATATATTTATTATTCAAACAAATTATGATATAAAAATCATATTTTTCGAATTGCTTCCTTAGTTTTATCTAGTCAAGTAGTCATTGTATTTATCGGAAAAATAACTCTTGAGAGTAATTAACTTTTGTGTTTGTACTCATTTGGTCCCTTTTTTTTTTTTTTTTGTATTCAATATACCATCGAACTTGTTGTTGGTGTTTACCATAGCCCTTTTGACCGGCTTTTGACCTGTGATAGCCGGTCAAAGGGTTATGGTGAACACAAATAACAAGTTCGATGGTATATTGAGTACAAAAAAAAAAGGAAATAGACCAAATGAGAACAAACGCAACAGTTGGTTACCCTCCTGGTTCATTTTCCCTTTACTCATTTACAACAAATCTCACATCATCTCTTAGTGATATTAATGACTTTATGAGATTCATTCTTGCTTCTCTTTAAAACATAACCTACGAAAGGACATTATTCATACATGTACAACTTTGTAATGCACTTGAATATTTATTAGGGGAATCTTGACTTAGCAGACACATTTCATGACTACATTTACATTTGCAATCAAATGATTTATCGTATCATGGATTCTAGACAAGTCTACAAACGAGTGGAATCACAAGTGCTGTGATTTTTGAGTTTACTTAGCTTTAAGATCGAACTCATGGGACAAGATACAACATCAATATGTACAATATCATGTTGCTTTTGTAGACACATCACCTTAATATTGTACACATTGATGTTGTATCTAATCCCATGAGTTTGATCTTAAAGCTAAGTAAACTCAAAAATCACAGCACTTGTGATTCCACTCGTTTGTAGACTTGTCTAGAATCCATGATACGATAAATCATTTGATTGCAAATGTAAATGTAGTCATGAAATGTGTCAACTTAGTCAAGATTCCCCTAATATTTAAGTGCATTACAAAGTTGTACATGTACGAATAATGTCATTTCGTAGGTTATGTTTTGAAGAGAAGCAAGAATGAATCTCATAAAGTCATTAATATCACTAGGAGATGATGTGGGATTTGTTGTAAATGAGTAAAGTGAAAATGACTCTTGAGGGTAATTAACTTTTGCGTTTGTACTCATTTGGTCCCTTTTTTTTGTATTCAATATACCATCGAACTTGTTGTTTGTGTTCACCATAACCCTTTGACCGTCTATCACAGGTCAAAAGCCGGTCAAAAGGGCTATGGTAAACACCAACAACAAGTTCGATGGTATATTGAATACAAAAAAAAAAGAAAAAGAACCAAATGAGTATAAACGCAAAAGTTAATTACCCTCAAAAATCATTTTCCCTTATAAAAATTATCATAAGGTCATTTGGCAAAAAGGCGAAATGAATTGACGTTACATGTAGCATCATTTATACACCTCATTTAATGGATAATGTACTAAACTACCTATTTTATTTATGGGCTTTTGGTTTTTACTATTTTTGCTAAACATGTCTAGACCAAGTTTTATGTGAAAATATCGATTGGCTAAATAAGGCAAATCAATAGAAAAAGTGAAAAACATTTTATGTTTTTACCTTCTCCCATTTAATAATAGCACTTATAAATAATATTAGTTGTATTAAATTTTATAATAATGATTTTAAAAATATATTAAATTGAAATGAGATTTTTAATAAAAATATTTGGAATAACAATTTTTTTTTCTTATATCATAATTTATTTTTTATAGAGTTGTACAATACAATATTTTAAAATATAAAATATTATTTATAGAATATTATTTGTTGTTATTAGTAATCTAGTTGAAACTAATTATAGTCCATGACTTTTTTATTCATTTATTAAAATTCATTCTAAATATTTGACACATTATATATTTTATTAAATTATATATGAGGAATAACTTAATTTTCTAAGCACATAAAATAAGATAAATTTATATGATATAATCAATAGAGAAAAAAGCAAAAAACTAATATTTAATTCGACATATTTATGCACCATTCAAAAAAAAAGTTTTTAAAATATACAATGTTCAGTCATGCTTAGTTGCTTACAACTTGAAGAGCATTTACATATATTTTATCAAATACCATACATGGTAAATCTTACATCGATATGTTATAAAAAAAGTAAAAGATTTGTATTTATTTAAACGTATTAATAAAATTATCAAAATATGTTAGGACAAAAGATAGTATAAAATATAAATATTGTTAATATCGCATGAAGTACAAAATTTATATAGTCACATGTAAGGTTAATTTATTAAAAAATAATAAATTAAGCAAACAAATATACCAAAAAAATATTTTTCATTTTTTCAATATAACGTTTTAAATTATTATGCTTTAAAGTACCATTTAAATTGTTGTTTAATACTTATGTAAAATAGAAATAATATTATTATATTTTACAGGAAATAATTTCACCTTTTCAACTTGTCCCTTGGTAGATAAGAGTAATTAAAAGTTTTTTTTTATCTAGAAAACGCGCGAGTCAATATAGAAAGTCATATATTATATCATTACATGTCATTTGTTGAATGGGTAATTTTTTATCCAAAGCATATTTAAATACATAAATTATTCTTAGCCAGTTTTTCAATAAATCTTATAATATATAATCATAGTATAATATTGTAATCACATTTAATATATATTTACTGTATTTTTTAAAAGTTGAAAACCTTGATATTCATGAATTACACAATTCAACAAGATCCATTTAACCCGTCATGAAACTACCAATTGGCCATGTTACCGGGTCTGATATGATATCATTTTGCCACCTTCATTAAATTTCATTGTTACAAATGATTGAGAATCTATTATTATTATTTTAATTTGTTCTCTTATAATAAGAATCTATTATTATTATTCTAATATGTATTCTAAAGGAAAAAGTCCAAAAAAGTAGGGTTGGTGTTGTCTTATTTGATTGGGGAACTTTGAAACGGCAACGTTTTGGGGAGGGAAAGTTGACATATAGGTATTTGTTGGCAAAGGGAAATGGCAGACTGGCAATGATGGGGTATTTGCCACTTTGACAGGGTGGGAATGTTTCTTTGTTGGTTATGACTTCCATGTTCTCCTTTTACAACTTCTCACATCTCCACCCTCTATTTATCTCCTTCTTTTTAATATAAAACACTAACTATATATTAAATAAGTATTTTACAATTATTTTTTAAAATATTTACAAAATGATAGCTATATGTGATATTAACAACCGATCATTTGTTATTAACACAGCCAATTGCATAAAAGACATTAGATTCGTATAAAATTTTGATTTTGACATTGTATATTTTTTTCCTTAATTAAATCATTGAATTTATAATTTTGTTGCAAATTTATTCAATCGACCATTTTGCTTCAGGTGTTTTATGTTTCTCACCTGTCGATATAACAAAAAACTGATGTAACTTACACATATAATTGTAGTTGGCAAACATATGGGTTAAATTGAACTATTACATAGAAATCTATTTACTTTTCTTTATTTATTATTCTTTTCTTCTCTTAGAATATCACGATTTTGTGAAATAGATTCTCAATGTCGTTCAAGTGGTTCGTCATCTCATAGTAATATAAGCAAGGCTAGAAATATTTTCAACATAACTATTATCATTATTACATATTCTCACTAATTATCATTTATTTTTGTTCTCACGCATTCTCATTCACTCTTTCTTATTATCACATAATAGGATTATCAAGAATATATTCTCATAAAAAGTTCATACTATCCTTATAGATGATTTAATTTTTTAAACTAATTATTTTTTATATATTTTTTATATATATTCTTGATAATAGGATTATCAAGAATATATTCTCACATAACGGGAATCATAAAAAGTTCATACTATCCTTATAAATGATTTAATTTTTTAAACTAATTATTTTTTATATATATTTTAAGAGATTGAAAATTAAATAAATAAACGATCGAAAGTTAATTTTTATTTATAGTGATTCATTTCTTCATTTAATTATAAATATATACACAATATTAAATTCAAAATATTTTAAAAAAATATGTTTAAATTAAAATCAGCTAAGAATGTATTTTTTATAATAAGACTACTAAGTGAGGATAACATGTTATCACACTTAAAATGTTCAACTCGTCATCCTAATCATACATTGGTATTATAACACTCAATGTAGAAATGAACAATACCAAATAATATGTAATAACACCCCCTATTTTCTATTATTTTTTATTTCATTGATATTTTTAATTTCTATTTTTTTTTTTCAGTTTGTTTTATTTTTTATTTATTTATGACATAATATTTATAAAAAAACATATAAATCAATAACACATATAATTTAATTAAATCCTAAATTAAAAATAACTTTTAAAAACTTAAAATGACATTACAAATAAATAAAAACATTGAACAAATACATTACGATGATCCTGGATTCATTTGTTTCATTTATTTATTTATTTATTTTATAAATAAAGATGTGATTATCATTGGACTTGCAAGTTACATAACAATATGATATCATCAACACTTGAAATAATTGCTTTTTTCTTTAGAAAACCACATGAGCCGGCAAAAATTACGAATGGGTCAAAGCATTAGATAGAGAACAATCCATCAAATAATTTTGACTGTTTGAAAAAAATTGCAAGCCAATAACGAATCGTTACCTCCCGTTGCCATGCTAACGGATGATGTCATAACGCCCAAAAACGCCAAGATGGGACAGTGTTTCAACGTTACGTTAGCATTTTTTCACTGTCACTTCAATACGACGGATATCGTGTTGCATGTATTCATTAGTCTAAGAAAATATTAGTTTTGGAAGCTAACCCATACCACTACCAACCACCCAAAAGCACCCAAAAG